GGGCTCCGCAGTCCCCCGCTCTGACCAGGGAACACTTGCCAGGGTGCCCTGCGGCCCGGCGCTCCTCAGTCCCCCATCCGTCCAGCCCATTTTCATTCCTTTCACTTTGGCCTCCTGTGTCCATCTGTCCCTCCGTGTCCATCTGACTCACTGCAGGGCTGGGGTCCCAGGCAGGCCCCACCTTCCTGCTTTCTGATACAGGGACATTCTTCCCTTTTTAGGGCCTTGCTGGGTCGCCCAGGCGCAGTGGCACGGTGTTGGCTCACTGCAACCTTTGCCTACAGGGTTCAAGTGATTCTTGTGCCTCAGCCTCCTGAGTAGCTGGGATTACAGGTGCCTGCTACCACACCCAGCTAGTTTTTGCATTTTTTTATACAGACGAGGTTTTATCATGTTGGCCAGGCTGGTCTCAAACTTCTGACCACAAGGGATCCACCCACCTTGGCCTCCGGAAGTGCTGGGACTGCAGGCCTGAGCCAACATGCCCGGCTGACATTCTCCTCTCAATGCACGTCTGGCCCAGCACAGGCCACAGGGCACATTAGCCTTCTGACAAAGCTGGAGGGCAAGGCCTCACCCCCACCCCGAGTGCCTCCTTTGAAGCCCTGCCTTCCCCTATCATGCCCCATAATGCGGCCTCAGGAAACATGAAGAGGGGGCCCTTGGGGTGGTCTGGCGACGCCTCCTGGTAGACAGCAGATGGGAGGGAAGGAAAGAAGGCAGGAGAAGGGGCAGAGGAAGGGGGAAAGCGAAGCCAGCTCAAGGTGCCCCTCCTGCCCAGGCTTCCCGTCAGATGCTTCCTGGATCAAATACTTTGTTACATTTCCAGCACAAGACAGTGACCTTACAAACACGAAGAGAATTAGAGAAACAGCAGGATTTAAAGCAGCACACAGAGCTCTTTGTGTACACTTTCAGTTAAAAGACAGAATGGAAGAGATGACCCATTTTTAACAGCAACAAGATAAAACTCCCTCCACATAAAAGAAATGTGAAACCCTAAATGAGAAAAACTTCAAATATACCGTAAAGACACCGAAGTAGACTTCAATACCACAGTTTGAACGCATCCCCCAAAAGTTCATGCACTGGAAACCTGGACTCCAGTGCAGCAGCGTTGGGATGCGATTCTGAGGTGGCTGGGTCAGGAGACTAATCCATTCACGGACTGATGGGTTATTGGGGAGTGCAGCAGTTGTCACCAGGGGTCTCACGAGCCCCTCACAGGACGCCCGGCACCACCTCGACACTGCGGAGTCCCCACCAGCAACACGGTCCTCACCAGAGGCAACACCCTACCTTGGACTCCCTGCCTCCAGAACTGCAAGAAATAAAATTCTCTTCTTTATAACTTACCCACTCGGTGGTATTCAGTCACAGCAACAGAAAACGAATTCAGACAGAGGGTTGGGCGCGGTGGTTCACACCTGTAATCCCAGCACTTTGGGAGGTCAAGGCAAGTGGATCACCTGAGGTCAGGAGTTTGGGAACAGCCTGGCCAACATGAAACGCTGTCTGTACTAAAAGTACAAAAATTAGCCGGGCATGGTGGCAGGTGCCTGTAATCCCAGCTACTCAGGAGGCTGAAACAGGAGAATCGTTTGAACCCAGGAGGTGCAGTGAGCTGAGGTCACACCACTGCACTCCAGCCTGGGCGACAAGAGGGAGACTCCGTCTCAAAAAAAAAAAAAAAAAAAAAAAGAAATACCATGTTTCTGGATAAGAAAACACTCATGAGCAAGACAATTCTACGAAAGTAATGTAATCCTCATAAAGTAAATTTAATGTAATCCTTATACAAACAGCAGAATGTTTTTTTTTTTTTTGAAATGGAGTTTCACTCTTGTTGCCCAGGCTGGAGTGCAATGGCACAATCTTGGCTCACTGCAACCTCTGCCTCCTGGGTTTAAGCAATTCTCCTGCCTCGGCCTTCGTAGTAGCTGGGATTACAGGCACACACCACCACACCCAGCTAATTTTTTGTATTTTTAGTAGAGACAGGGTTTCACTATGTTGGTCAGGCTGGTCTACAAACTCCTGACCTCAGGTGATCCACCCACTTTGGACTCCCAAAGTGCTGGGATTGCAGGCGTGAGCCACTGTGCCCAGCTCTAAACACCAGAATGTTTTCTAATTATAAAGTTCATGTGAGAGAGAAAGTGCACAAGAGTGTAAAAATAGCACGGAAAACCCTGAAAACGAAATGGGAAGGGACGAGTCCTCTGCTGCTGAACCACCTCCTGCCTCTGCAATGGAACCACATGGCACCAGGGCCCATGTAGACAGGTAGGCCCCACGAAAACCCAGGAACAGGCCCCAGGGCCGAGGACAGTAAGTCTATAAGGTGGCATGGGATGCCAGTGAGGACAGGAGGGACTGCGAATAAATGCTGAATGTTAACCTCTTGGAAAAAGACTAAAATGAATCTGCACTTCATACCATACACTAAGACAAATTCCAAATGGGTCAAACATGCTAGGAAAAAGTGAGTGAATCCCTTCATCACTGGGGAGTGGGCAAAAGCTTCCTAAACACGACCTAAAACCCAGGAGCAATAAAAGACAAAGCAGACACTGGAAAAAGTGTTTTATAACAGTATTTTCAGAAGTGTTGGTGACTTGACTGGGAAGCAGGGCAGTGACTGTCAGGGACGGAGGGTGGGGGGATGGCACTGAGTGAGGGCGGGTCCCCTTCCAGGGTGATGAAACCTTTGGAAGCACACAGAGGTGACAGTTGTACATTGTGAACTTTAAGATGGTTAAAATGGCCGGGCGCGGTGGCTCAAGCCTGTAATCCCAGCACTTTGGGAGGCCGAGGTGGGCGGATCACAAGATCAAGAGATCGAGACCATCCTGGTCAACATGGTGAAACCCCGTCTCTACTAAAAATACAAAAAAAATTAGCTGGGCATGGTGGTGCGTGCCTGTAATCCCAGCTACTCAGGAGGCTGAGGCAGGAGAATTGCCTGAACCCGGGAGGCGGAGGTTGCGGTGAGCCGAGAT